TTATGACAAGCAGCTATCATGTAATCTATTTTTACGATGATGTTATGTGGTGCAACAAACACTTTGTGTGCTATGTGTGCATGCCAGTGGAGTTCCTGTTTATGCATAGTTGTGTGTATTTGCTTGTTTGCACACCATCGGTCCGAACTTAGTGCTCCTCTGCCAAGTATGTAAATCCATAGAGCAGAGCAGTGTCATAATGCACTGTCCTCTGCTTGACATTGTTTCTTTCTAACTTACAATACAGATATGCACACACAAACACACTCATTGACATCAAGACACACAACACACAGTCAAACATGCATGGGACGCACCACGGGAGTCCTGTGAGTGAGGCAAGTGACATTAAGCCTAAATGGCAGTGGTGACATGCAGCAGTTATGATGTATCAGGGAGAAATGCACTAAATGCTCAGTTCATGAAAAGGGAGAGGGGGAGAGTGAATAGGGGAGATGGGCTGAATGGAAATGAAGCGAGAGGACGAGTGAATAAAACTCCTTTGCTTGTTTTGGATAGTGGTAATGTTTTAATGCGTTTTGTAAAAGATTTCTGAGACATGCAAATTAGACACAGTGAGAGGGGTCTTTGATTAGGCAGGCGAGAGTGGGGGAATGAAAGAGGAAGGTGGAGGTTACGTGGCTCACTAATTGATGAAAGGAAGTGCTTCTGTGAGAATAAGGTGCAGGAGTGGAGAAAAACAAATTGGTGCAATCATGCTGGCAGCCAGTGAAGATCAAGTAAAGACCTGGTGTTCAAAATATTACCATTGCTGATAGATGGAGTGGAAATCTTTTGCATCAAATGTAGTGTGAATAATAAAATATTTATAATTTGTATTTAATAAAATACAAATAAGATTGGGCCTTTGGAATTCTGATAGAAAACTCCACGCAGCGAATCACTTGTAGGATTGTCTAAATAACGTATTAATTTTAATTAAAATCTAGATAAAATACGCACACATCAAATAAAATAAGCTCAGATTCATCAGATTCTATCCGTACTTTCTTTCAATCTTTTAAATCTCAAACACATGTAGAGCAAATCGACAGCATGAAACACAAACTGTGAAAACCGGGGACAGATCCATGTCCCATGCCCACTTCCTCCCCATTACTCTAGTGTATCCATATATTTGTCTTCTGTCTTACAGCATTCAGGTGGAAGAAAGTGTTTGAGATGATAAAAGTAATCCTCCTCCTCCTCCTACAAAGAAACACCAATTAATTACAATAATCAAGAACACTTGGATGAAGCAGGTTTATATCAGGGTAATTTTCTGAAAGTGAGTCAAAGTAGGCATAACCACAGCTTTGCAAATAAAAGCAATTTTCTCTGGGGAGATAATGTGACAGAGGCTGGACATGCTTCTGTTTTTAGATGTTTGTCTGTGTAATGTATGTATGTGTGTTTTTCACAGCTTGCGCTCGCATGTTTAAGCATGACGCCTGGATAGGCCTAGTTTGGAGGGTGGGCTGTAGGCTATTGGCTTGATTTGATCACAAATAGTGCGTGAAATTAAATTACACAACTAATTTTCAATTTGGAGCACTTTATTCAATAGCAACACCCACTTTCCCTCCTTAAGCTTCCCGCATGGTGTACTGAGGCAATATCTGCTTTTGCATTAATAGATTTTACCCTCTCACACACAGCCATTTAAATAAGTAGGCATATAAAATTAAAGACAAACAAAATCATTGGAATTACTCTTGCTCCTGCTGCAATTTTGTACACATGATGTGTGTTTTTGTATCTTTGTGAGAGTGTGCGTAGTATTGTTAGATCTGCCCTACTGTTATCAAGTCAGGCCTTGGTATGAGCCGCAGGCTTTGACTCTCTTGAAAGCCAACATCACCCAGTTGCCAGAATCAATGATTTTTCCTGTTTGTTGGACTCCTCCAGGAGTGACAGGTAGACCAAGATTATTACAGGATCACACAGTGTTTGGCGGCACTGTGGCCACTCGATAAAGTGTATGCCAGACTGGGGCTCGCAGTGGTACAATGTTGCAGATCAGTCTGAGTTTTCTCTGCCTGCTCCCAGACTTTGAGAAAAGGCTTACTCATATTGACACTGAGTGATTGGATTTGTTCCGGACCACAGAGCCGTTGTCTGTATGATCATCTGGCTTCAAAGGAAGCGAGAACTGGCCAGAGATGAAGCTTTTGTGGAGCTGGTCAGAGAGGTCAGAATGATCTCTGTGGAGGCACGGAGGGAACGGTGCCCAGGTGACTCCTGCCTACCTGCAGTGTTGGCACAGAGTTGAGAACAGTTTTTATTTTGTACATGCAGACAAACACACGGCGCTTGTGTGTCTGTTTGTAAGTGTGTGTGAGAGACAGAGCATGAGAGAGTGAGTGTATTGAACAGTTCCAACCCCTTAGGAGTCATGTCTAGTGTTAGGAGTCTGAACTTTCGCTAATTAGCTTGAAACATCTGTCCAGACGGCTGCCGGAGGGTGGTCATAATGGGAGAAGTGGAAACGCTCACATCCGCCAGCACTTCAATACAAACAAACAAGCAGCGACATTTATTTATTTACCATTTAGAAATGATCCTGCACACACACGCACACTCAGACATAGTTTAGCATTTGCATGTTTAAAAATGACAAGATTTACCCATAATCCTCTGTGAATATGTACTAAACTCCTAATGAGCACCAAGGGAAAGGACATGGGGATGAGGAACATGACTAAAACAGCTTTCCAAACCTCTGTCCTCTGCTCTCCCTCTTTCCTTTCTCCCTCCTACACTGCTCCTAGTTGCAGTTTTTTGCAGTGCTCCAATAGACAGAGACAGAAATGATAAAAAAGATGATGAACCCCCAGTATGCTCATGATTCAAATGATTCCCGGAAAAAGCAAAGTGTTACAGTCATGAGAAATTAAGACAAATATTGCATCCTCTTCCTGCCGTACATTCCTTGTCTGTGTTGCAACCATGTTTCCTGCAGAGACAGTATTTTATAGAAGCCGTCAGAGTTAAAATGAGAAAGTTTTATGGAGACTCTGTGGCAGATTAAACCACTATTAGCCATGCTCCATCACCCTCTCCAGCTGTTGCCTTTTGTTTACGGCTAAAAAGTGTTTTATGACACGCGGTGCTATAGTCACCTCGACAATTATAGCTAATGATATACGAGTGGCACTGTATTTTTACACCGGCAGTGGAGGGGGAGAGGGCGGGGGCAGGCACAGAGCGAGAAGTGAGCGAGCACAGGAGAGCAGAAATTGTGGGATAAGAGGTGCGGCAGAGGCGACGATAAGAAAGGAGAACTACAGATGGGTGGAATTGGGAGGGAGAAGGAGGCAGAAACAAGTGCTGACAGGAGAAAGTCCAAATGCAAAGTAAAAACAACCATATTCCCCTATTGCAAGTAAATTACCCAGATTGAGTGATGTGTCCTACCATTATTTTGTTAAATGTGTGTAATGAATAGAGGTGATTGAAAAGAAGAGAGGGAGCATAGATGATAAATTACAGTGTTATTTGGTTTAAATGAGAGTAACAACCACATCTATTTATTGCTGTTCCATTTCTAAATGGGACCATGCTTTTCAATCTTGTGTTTAAGGTTTTTAATTTAGCATCAATAAAAGATGCTTGACTTACTTAATGTTACTTACCTTGTGCCCAGGTTGGCACTCCTGTCTGGTTGCATAACACTTGATTTATTTCATGTTGTGAATTGGAAAACAAGGAGAAACAAGAAGGGTGGTGTGAGAAGAAGATGAAAGTAAAATGAGTAAATGTAAACATCATGGTCGTCACAGAAAATGATTGAGAAGAGCTGTTAGACACTGACAGAGTTCAGTGATAACAGGAGAAACAGCCCCTACAATCTGCAGATAGAGCGCGAGAGAGAAAAAGAAGCACCTGCAGCTGTTTAGAGGGACATTATGACATTAGTATACTGATGTACTGCAGATGTACAGTGGGTGTGTCTGGAGCTATGTCTGTGTGTGTGTGTGTGTGTGTGTGTGTGTGTCTGTGTATCTCGGTGCAGCACCCTTTCAAAGTGTCCTTGCTGCACAATTAACAGTGGTGTAGTTACTAGTAAAGAGTTGACACAAATATAAATATTTAAGTTGAATCATTAACAATTCATGCAAAAGGTTTGCTTTTTCCGAGTGTGTGTGAGATTAGGAGACCAAACACTTGTGCACCCATGGGTGAGTTGGTGTGCTGCTGTCTTAAGGCCCTAGAAAGTAACTGCACAATTGACCAACAAAACCCTGGTATACGATCAATGGGAACAGTTTACATGAACAATGTGCATGCACATTAACTTTACAAATCATACATGCATTTCCTCAGAAGCCTTCTTTCTTACTGCCTCACAAATCTGCTCTTGTGTCATGTCAATCCACCAAAGTGCAAGTGCACCTGGCTTTTAATACTAAACACCCCACTGATTTAGTAAGAGACAAAACACAATTTTTTTTTAACAATGTAGCACAGTCAAGTGGATTTGGACACACCCTAAATGCACTTTAGGTCATTTGTCATTAAAAAGTCTAAGGGCAGGGACACAGAGGGAACGTGAATTCTACCTAAAGGTTTGTCTGATGAGAAAAAAGTTGTAACGCTGACATTTAAGCGTGTTTGTGTGGGAGTTTTTGCAGTTACTTTGTCACAGACAAGCATGTTTTGTCATTTCTGCAGTGTTTGATAAGAGATTTGTCAGATTACTTGAGCACCTTTGATACAAGCTACACACTGGGTTTCTGCTTTGCACATTTCCATAATGTTCTTTCAAAAATATTCACATTTCAGACACAAAGAATCACATTATTCAAGATGGAAAATATGTTTTAAAGGGATTTATTTTTCTCTAAAAACAACAACAACAAAAAAACTTTCTTACTCATCTTTCAGCCTGTCATATATTTAAAGCCTGGTTACAATATTTCTACCAAACCGATGATATTCCTATTACTGATTATTATTTTAACTCTAAATGCGACACTGTATTTTTGTGTGTGTTGCAGGTGGTGGAGACCAACCTGGTGGCCTTCGATTGTCACTGGATCCTGATTAATGAGGTGAGTGCCAGCATGAAAATGATTTATGGATCCTGAACTGGTTGTTCCTTCAGTTCACCTTATTGTTTCAATTATCCTGGGAATATTTATGGTTTTAGATCCAGAACTCCTCTGATCTCTTCACTGTCCTGGAGCTTTGAAGGAGAACGGGGAGCTTATAAAGTTGTGGACTCTTTTTTTCTCTCACATCAGTTCATCTAATAACACACAACTTGATGACCAAGGACAATTTAGTTTACCTTAGAGAGCACATGCTGCTGTGCGCCACAAGAAAAAAAACAATACAGTTAAGATCCTACATATTTTATGCACACCATTTAAGCCAACACACTACACATTTTCAGAGATGACAAAGGTGACCTTTATAGAACACCTCTGAATGAGCATAAACACAGATTAGCCACAACATTAAAAGTGGTAACAGATGCTGTGGCAGATTGGTTTATATCTCTGGCGTGTTGTGAAAGAGCAATGTGAAATTGTCTTGTAGTTTCATCACTTCCATGCGTCATCACAAGGCAAAAATAAACCAATCAGTTGGTTCATTAAATATTAGGATTTCCTACTCTACTTCGCAGAGTGCACAGTTTTTGTCCTGTGTATTTCTTCTCATCCACGTTTTACAATCACTGCTTATTGCTCCTTAGAGAAACATAATTAAACCTTAACATTGTTTCTCGTAATTTCATATTGATTTTAAATAGGAACACAACTTTGATCTCGCCTCACGAGAAGTCCCCTTTTAAAAAAACACTTGCATCAGCTACATTTGTGTGTGTTTGTGTGTGAGTGTGTATGTTTGGATGTGTATGTACACTGATAGCTAATGCACTATGTCTTGGTTGCCTTGGGCTTTGCAGTGAGCTGGAAGGACCCAGCAGGGAGTCCGAGCTCCCACACACTCACACACAAACATGAGCTTGTGCTCAAACACAACCTTGTACACAAGAACACATACTGAAGGAGCAGCAAAGAATTATTTACAGTAGGGAAAATGGAAAACCTCATTTGGTACAAAACAAGAAATAGTTCAGTTTACTCTGTTACTCTCTCTCTCTTTCAGTTTGATTTTAAGTCATAACCTCTTACAATTATAATGCTGATAAATGCCAGAAGGCCCAGCAGTCCCATTGCTCGCTGCAGTTCTGCAAAGAAAGTTTTTCTGTTTGAAACAAATATTAGCATGCATCAGTAGCATTTCTACAGATAGGCAAAGACCCAGCCATCACCAAACACCATCTCATTGTGCAATGCAGCTGATTACTACACAGACAAGAGAAAGGGAGCACACAAAAACATACATGACAGTAGTAGTAGCAGCAAATCTCTCTTAAATGCAGGACCTGTTCTAGCTCATGATTTCATGCTGCCTGTCTGGTTCTTTCTCTTGCATCGTGCTGCAACGTGCTCTGACATCTTTAGCTTTCTGCATTCTGACCTTTCTGTTGAAGGAGTGGTATGATCATTCCTTCAAACCCACCCTTAAAATATAGAATTTATAAGATGTCTTTTCTATTTTAAAGATATTAAGTGATAATGACACGCTCCAATGACAATGCAGATTTATGTTTTCTAGCCTCAGGAAGACCTCATCCTGCAGTTATTCCACAGAGAACACTACACCTTGATTAACAGAAAGGAAACAATACTAATATGTTAATTAGGAAGCAGAACATAATTAAAATGCTTGAATTTTATGTCACACGGTTAAATGTATATATGTAAATTGAGTAAATATGGAACTTCAAGGTGGTGCAATTAAAATCTTCGTGAAATGAAAAGCGGATGCACGTACATCTTAACTCCTCTTCATCAAACGTTTGAAAAAGAGATTATCAAGAGAACTTATGCAGATAATAAATGAGTGTAATTTGTTTGTTTACTTTCTACATTGAATGCATCTGCACATGTCTTTTACACAATTTTATGACTGATCTTAGAATGGTGGCATCTGAGTCAAGCACAGCCTGACAAGCATATTTGCTAGTAGCTAGTGATAGCAAGTCAACCAAAGAAGATTGCTGCTGCTCCTCTTACAATCCCCAGACTTCATCAAATTGACCTCGCCTCCTAAGACAATATCCTGTTGTGAGAGGTGGGGCAGTAAATAACCAGATGAATGCCAACAGGTCAGATCCTTCATGGGCCAGATGACTTTTCTGAGCTCAGATGGAAGCAGAGAAATGGTTCCACTTCATTATCATTCTGTCTTTGGCTTTAAATGGTCAAGCACTGCTTACCTGGCTTGTGCTGACGGAACAGCCCTGGTATGTATGACATCCATTAACAATACAAGGACAGCCGATCATTTGGTTCCGGTTCTCTCTTTTAGAGTGTCAGTCTCACTACATGAAGGTATATATCACCTCAGACAGCCTCTCAGTTTTGTTTTTCTCAAATGCTAATACCTCAGGGAGTGAGGGAAAAGAATGAGCCTTCCACCTGCACATTAATGAAAATGGCAGCATTTCTACCTTTTATCAGAGGTAGAAACGAGGACGTGTTGAAAACAGCCACTCTGTATTAGTCTCCGACTTCATACAGAAACTGTCATGCCACTCCTGCACTGATTGAAATTGATGTGTTTTCACGATGTAACAATTGAGACTCCACTCAATGGAAGAAATGTGTTCCTCCTGAAAGGCTTTCTTTGTACACTTTGTTTGGCAGATGGCATTGTCAGGCGGCCTACTGAGTAGTCCGTTGGTACCTGAGTGCCTGGTAGGCTAAAGTCACATCTAGCTGTCTAATAGACTCCCTTCATATTCATTGCATCCTGTCAGGCATCTGGTGTTGTCTACCACTCTCCAGGCTTCCTGACAGCGACCTGCTCTTTGCTTAGTTTCCTGAGAGGCTTAAGATGTCATTTTGCAGCCTGTGAGTATATCTAGCAGCATGTAGCCTGTAACACTTTGTACCTGCTGCCTTTGAGGAATCAATGACGAAATGCTGTCTGGCAGCCCAATGCTCGCTTGGTTGTTAATGTTTTAGCGATGGTGGATTATCACTAAGGAGTCTTATTATAGTTATATATTTAAAAATAAAACAGTCAGGTACATTAAATGCCAATTCACAGGTGTGAATTTCACAGTTTTCAAGCTTAAGAGTAAGCGTAAGAGTAGAAGCTGTTGTTAATGTTAAAAATCGTGTTACTGTTATTACGTCAATTCAAATACTATACATCCTGACACCTGCATTCTTACTGCTCTGACACATGTGGTATTTCAGCCCCTTCATGCTAAAGAGTTGACAGCAATGTTGTTGTTTAAAATATAGCAAGAATCAGTGAATATGATAGGATGAGACAAGATGGGGTCATAGGCAAAATGGAAAGGCTAAACCCTCTCATCTCATGTTTTTTACCAGGGGATGGTCAAAAATTGTACCGATAACCAAGCTTGGTGTGAATATCACTTGGGTCGGTGTGTGGTGGACAACACTCCTGCAGTAGAGAACTGCATTTTATGAATGTCTACAGCAAAAATGCTATCTACTGAGTTTATGCTGAGCCCCACCCATCAACTGAGCATGGTAAAATCTTTACCCATCCACGGGCCCTCGATGTGGGTAGGATTCCTCATGGTGCTGATGATGGTCAGTCTGACTGTGACAGACGATCAGATTGCTTGTGTGGAGAAAGCAAAGCGTACTGTCCTCCTGTTCTTTTTGATGCAATTCAGTTTCAACTTTTAAAAAATAAATGAAAAATAAAGTGTGGATCACACAATTTTGTTAGCAAGCAAACTATAGTATACTCGCCTGTGCACTGAAATTCTCTATAAGACAGCAAAGCACTCTCTCTCATAGAGGATGGGCGGATGGCAGATTGTATAGGGGAATCATCCCCCTACAAATTGCCAACTGGGTGTACATCTGTCCAAATGAATTATACACCATACACTATATTTGCTTTAACTGTCATCTTAGTAAGAGTTAAGAGAGCAGTTTGCAATATGTGTAATAGTTGAATGGCTTAAACATGCGAACACAGCTATTTAGCAAACCCCTTTAGCAAATCTAAATCATATAACTCAGTCACTGATATTCAGCCCAGCTGTTCTCACCTTAATGTTTTCAAGCAGGGATTCAGATTATTATTAAGAAAAGAGAGATTTGGAAAAACAAATGTGGACCATCTAATCTAATGGGTAACAATTAGGAGAAGGGAGAGGGAGATGAAGGACAAGAGAGAGGTGGTGGAGCAAGAAGAGTTTTTTTAGGAGAGAGGACTCACTCTTTCTTGCTCTTAACTGTATTAAAAAATCATAAACGCCTTCAAAGATCGAAAGAAAAGCTAAACACATAGCTTTAAAATGATAAGAAGTCCTAATTCTGCTTATCAGGATTGAAGTTTAGTCACACGTTGTTCTAATGTGGACACAATATTGCCACCATGTATGTGAAGTCCCATGGAGTGTGTTTAAAATGGCTGTGCCTGTAATGTTTAGTCATATGTGATGTCTTCTAGTACTGGTTCTTTGGAGAATGAATGTGTGGGAATATGCTCTTCCCTCCCTGTGGCTTATTATGGATGATGGGGCACTGTACGGTTGTCATAACTCTGCTTTATCTACAGCCAGCAGTCAGACAGCCCCACTGAGGGGGAGTTCACAGTTATAATTGATCATCCTTCCTCTCCCTATCTCCTACTTGGGATGAGGGAGGATGACGATGAGGAAGAGAAATAATAAAGGGCACTCATGGCTACTCATTTTCTCCTGAATTTGGAGGAACTCCACTGCTGACCTCAGTCGTTCTGATGCTCTTCATGACCTTCCCCCCTCCGTCATGCTATCTGTCTTGATCTTCCAGAGTTCACTCTTTTCATCATCATTCTTTTCCTCTTCATTCATTTCTGCTTTTATGTTTCCCAAGGGTAGATGTGCATGGTAATTAGATAAGACAAGATTAGGCCTTTCTGTCATTTTGGCTCTTAACTGCATGATATCCAATGAAAATCGGTGAAACTGAGGGATTCTAATGCTTTGACAACCCTGTCACCTAAAAAACGATTTTCTTATAAAACTAATCCACATCAGTAAATATGTTTTTTGTGGGAGACCACATCACATTATTGATTGGTCCTTTAATAAGGGTGGTTTGTTGAGTCACAAATATGTTCATACTGAACAAATCAATAAATTATTCACAGACAATGTGTTGTTTTATGCCAAAATATCAGATCATGCAATGTAGTATTGACTTATCTTCAAAATAGCATTATTACACTTTGTTATGGTTATGCATTTACAGAAATAATGGTTGACTTCAAAGACTTCAGACACATGTTTCTTGATTTTTCCTTCATATTAACCAAAGTTTCGTTTTCTTACCTACAATGCGGACCCTGGATGTAAATCCCTGTAGGCAGTGTTCCACATTCCATCCACTAGGTTTGTTTAATGGCTTAAGAACATTCTACAAAGCTTTGGATAAAGAGACCCTTTCAAAATCTGCTCACTCCAAAAAGGTGTTTCAGGCAATGAGAATTATTGTTCTTGGAAACACTGAAGATAGAAGGTAATCTCAGACTGCAACCATAGTTAAGGCTTATTTACAGCTGCAGAAGGGCTTGCAGAGGAAGATGGAGATAACTGTTGTGCAGGCTGTGCACAGCTGGAAGTTGCCCAGTATGAATACAGCCATATAAGACTACTGTTGTTGCTAAGCTGGTCCCCTGGAGCTGTTGATATTTTGAGCCTTGTTCATGGCAAATATGATACATCTCTTGGTCCTGATTTCACTTCTTGAATCAGAAACTTTTTGATCAGTTTTGTTTTCCAGCTTATTTAAAAGATAGTTTACAGCGATAATGGGGCTTTATATTGTTTGTTTTATTCCACTGACTGTTCAATTACCATCTCAATGAAGCCTCTTCACTGCTCATGTCTTGTAATGATGCCCGCTTTTCATTTTCTCTTTAATATTTCATGTGTTTTTTAATTTCTCCATAATTTTTCTATAATCCCCTTTGCTCTATGCCTCTCTCCAACCCATAGTGTTTGAAAATGGAAAGGCAGTTGCTGTTAGTCAACAACTGTGTGTATTTTCAAAATTCCTTTTGAATACAGAGTAGATAAAAGACCAACCAGCCCGCTTGCAGAGGTAGAGGGTCACCTATGGCCGCTGTTACACCTTTTTGAAGCAGAGGTGATACTTCCTTTAAGGCCTTTAATAAACGTTCTAAGAATGGGGTGAATGAGAGGGTGACATAAATTAGGTGCTATTGAGGAAAATTGCCGGAGGTGACAGAAAAAAAGGAAAGGGCAAATGTAATGAGACTGACTTTTCTTCAGATTTGTTTTGTTTTTCAAAATGTTGAACTTTTGAACGAGAGCAAAACAGAGGGATTTGCTGTTCTCATAGGCAGTAGGGTTGAATGGGAATGAACTGAGGGGTTGGGCAGAGGAGCAGGAGGAGCAGGAGGAGCAGAAAGGGTCAAACAACAAATAAAAAAAACAGCTTTATTCCCCCCACTCTAAACAGATAAGAGAGACAGACGGGATTTGGTGTCTCTAAGGGAGAGCGAGGAAGAAAAGGATGGGTGGAGAAGAGAAAACATGGAGGACAAAGTATAAGGGTCAGGGAAGAAGTGCCAAGAAGAATTGAGGATGAGGGACGTGTTTTTGCTTTTGACTCTCTTCTTCAAATAAAACACTAAAGAAGAGGATTTGGTGCTCCTGGGAAATGGAGAGAGGCAGAGGGAGGTGATAGGTTGAGGTTGATGGGGACTGCCGGCAGACCGAAACTTCAAGTTTATGTTGTAAACAACTAATGATTCACTGCTGCAGGGTGTTCTGAGGGTTACAACTTACCCACAGCTTCAGCTTTCACATAGTTTGACTCTCTGCACACATCTATCCTCAGGACTGAATGATTTAGTTGATTGTTTAGCTTGAAGGAGAATTTTGATTAATGAGAATGGATTAACAATTATTCCCCTAAAAGCCCTTAATATAGCAATGAGCAGTAATTATGTCATGCCTGTTTTGAAGGTTAAATAAAGTGATTTGATTGCACTGTTCAAAATTTTACCAAACCAAACTCTTAAAAATATATGAATGAAAACAAGAATATAAAACACATATCAGCAAATGAATACAATGTTGTTTAAATCAAAGATAGCAGATACAATAATACAAACTCTAATGGAAGAAAAAGATCATTAATGGCAATTAAAAGCCATTCTGTTAAAGTTTGTTTTGAAGGATAAACATGGGTTAACATGTGAGCTATAAAATGATAAATTGATAATATGATGATATGCACCTCCATCCAAGGAGTATCCTTTACTCTTAATGTCAGTATGTGTGTGATTGTACGTGTCACATTCATTTTGTCTTGGCTTTTAGAAGGCGAACAGCTTTTATAGTACGCCACCACTGAAAGTCATGTGAAGTGTTCAGTCGTTCTCCAGAGAGACAGAGACAAGGAGGCAAAGAGAACATGACAACAGAAGAAAGATGGGCAAGCACCTGTTGACAGGACAAATCTGAAATGAATCGTTTCCGTGTGTGTGTGTTTGTATTCCTGTGCATTGCTTCGTCTATATTTGTTTTGAGTTTGATCCTTTGAGTGGGGCACTCTGGATAATTCTTGCCCGCCGATGTTTCCCGGCCTGCCCTTGACTGTTTGCTGTGAATCCTAATTTTCTATTGGCCCACAGATCTGCCTTTTTAGCAATTTTCAGCATTTTCTCTCTGTCCTGCATCTCTTTTTTCAGCTTTGTAATTCAGTCCCCTTCAGGGCTGTTATTTCTGCGACCGCTTGGGATTTTTTCCACGTTTGAGCCCAGCAAATAGATTCCTTACTTAGACTGTTTAGAAAGTAGATACTTCAGAGCACAGGGCATTAACACAAGGATAAACCTGTTTAATCCTTTCAGGTCTTCTTCAAGGTGATAACACCCCTTTATTTGGTTTTTTAACTTATATTGTTAATTTAAATCAATTGAATATCTCAGGTCAGTAACTCCATTTAAAGAAAAATAATTTGATTTTACAGCAGAGCAAAAAAAGTGTAGTCTTTGAAAGGAACTGAGTGTGCATGTGTGAATCTCAATTCCGACGTAGATTATTTTAAATATTCAGAGAGCGTCAACTTGACTTCAGAAGCAAATGTATATTTGTGCAAACCATATATAGAGTTGGGGCCATTTATCAATGTAATGAATTTCAGATGAGCACAGCTATATCAATGAAGCTTGTATGATACTGCCTCTAATCACCATTGATCACATCCCGTCCTAATGAACATTAATTACATTCAAATAAAATACACCGAGATTAGTCAATGAACTGAAGAAATCTATAATATTACCCTTTCATATTATGAATCGTGTGTGAAGGCTTGTTAATGTATGTGCACGTTCCACAGGCGGGGTCTCAACCCTCCCGTCGAGTAGGCTGCAATGTGCAATTGAAACAGAATCAGAAAGGTTATTTTGCACAATAAAAAGGCTCAAAAGCAATCTCATGGAAACATATGTACACTTACACACTTAAACTGGGATGTGCACACAGATGCACACGGAGCACGCAGACAATCACTGCACAGATATACAAAGAAAGCAGAGGCTGTCTCAGTTGGTGGCGGTGTTGCCTCCACCGGGGACAATAAACGTCAGTTCTCATTTTGTCACCACATGACCCTCTGCACTCGCAGAGGATGGATGGAGATCCATGGATAGAGAGAGGGAGAGAAAGATTGAGTCCTAGGGCTAAAATTAGCAATGATTCCTTCCCCAAGGTTTTGCAAGGACATGCAGAGTACGTACAAACACACACGTATGTACACAGCAAGCAAACACAAATGTGCACACATGCAGACACACACTCTTTCCATCTGCTGACATTTTCCTTTCAAAAAAAAGTTATTTTTTTGAAAGGATGAAACAGACGATGGTTTTCACTTCATGCTGTGGTGATTATGGGATAATGGGCCTAAACAATTTATTATATATATTTGAATATGAATTACAGGGGATTGTAATGACAGGTACCCAGACAAGTTTCTTCTTTCATTTTGTGGTTGTGGTTGGTCTTTTTCGTATTTTCCTTGTCATAAATGTTGGCTATAGGGCCTCTGCTCCCTCTCCCCATCATTCCTGAACATATCCCCTGCTCCTCTGTCCACTCTCTCAGGAGATCTCAGACTACGACTTGCAGGAGTTGGTTATGAAGTCAATCGGTCGGCTGACGTTGGTGCGGCAGATGTTCCCCGTGCCCCAGAACACAACTCAGCGCTGTGTCAAACACAACCACAGGATCAACACTTCCCTCTGTGACCCGAAAAACCCCAGGTCCCAGCAGCTGGAGGTGAGTTGGCTTGGTGATTTGACAGCTCCGCTCCAAATCCAATAAGTTGAAAACAAATGGAGGTGTCTTACAGAAAGTAACTGGCAGCCATAAACAGTGTTGTGGGTTTTGTGTGTAATCAGCTAATTAGAGAGTTTGCTACCAAAGGTTTTTTTTCTGGCATAAAAGAGTTGGTTAAAGAAAAAAGATGGATGTAAAACTGAGAGAGGTAAGTAGGTAGAACATAACAGAACTAGAAATGCACTCAGTGTAGTGTACCGCCGAGGAGCTACACTCCCCTAATGAATCCACATTTCAATTCACTAGATCCAGTGTTCTGCACCAGATTGCACACACTCATAAATATCAGTTCCTTAGATATGTTGGAATATTTTCTTCAAGATCCCCAAATTATTCTCTGAGAAATCAAGGGAAATCTCACAATGCTAAAGAGAAACAAAAAAACCCACACCAAAATTAAATTGAATAGGTTTTTTCTTGGCCCACGTTCCATCCTTCCACCAGGTTTCGTACTAATTCGTTGAGTAGTTATTCCACAATCTTGCTCACAAACAGACAAACCAGCAGGCAGGGGGGAAAACATAACCTCCATGAGGAAATTTGTCAAAAAAAATAAATAAATCCAGTTCAACTTATTTGTCTCTATAGACAACTCGTACAGAACATGTGTATTCTGATCATTCTAGAGTGGCAACATGGCAGTTCACTTAAACTTATAGACAGAGAAGCTTCAGCTCTCCAAAGCTGCAGTGAGGAGCTGTTGTTGTCCTGCTATGTAACACTTTGTCCTCTTGCAGTTTAATTTCCTGCAGTGATCGAAAACTAACCTTAGTCTAAATTCACACAACCGAAGAGCAAGACATCATGACATGGGGTTGAAGCACCATTCATACAGTCAGTGATGGCTGTGACTGTGTTACAGGGCGGCTTTGTTCCCAAATAAGAAACATCACCACAACAAAGTGAATGAAATTACTTCTAGAACAATAATAAACATAAAAAGGTTGGTGATCACACACATACACTCACATACACTTACTGACTACCTTATTAGATAACACAATCCATTACATCCATTTTCTGACATTGTTATAGAGGTGTTAATTAAATCATACTGTATGTGTTAACACTGAGGTCACAGTGAGTGGTTGTGTTGTTGCATCACATCAACAGGTATTTCTAATACTCATGTCAAATATGGAAATAAAGAAGAAATGAGGAGGTTTAGTACGACACCGTCAATAACTATAACCTCAGTGATAAACACATTTATGA